ACTTAACGACACTAAGACGGAGGTTCTAGTTATTGCTCCAGATGAGTATGTCCCCATGATCAGGCAGAGTATTGGTCCACTCTCCTCTGCTGCCCATTGCAACCTGTGTAATCTGGGGATTTTCTTTGATCGATCCATGTCGTTTGACCCCCATGTTAAGAAGCTGTCCAGATCATGTTTCTTCTATCTCAGAAATATCAGTAAACTGAGATCTGTAGTATCAACACCTGAACTAGAGATGATCATACACACATTTATCTCTTCTCGCATTGACTACTGTAACACACTTTTCTCATCACTCAGTGTAGCTGCCAGATTACTCACCAGGACAAATCGACGGTCTCACATCACCCCCGTACTCAGATCTCTTCACTGGTTCCCTGTAGCATTTAGGATACACTTCAAAAATCACCTACAGAGCACTTCACGGTCAGGCTCCTACTTATGTAGCTGATCTACTTCACCCATATTCACCCGCCTGCACTCTCAGGTCAAACACTCTAGGTCTTCTGTCAGTTCCACGCACATGATTTAAGACCCGTGGTGACCGAGCCTTTGAGGCAGTGGCGCCGAGGCTGTGGAATGCTCTGCCTGAGACTCTACACCTCGCAGATTCTGTGAATACTTTTAAAAAACTGCTCAAAACCCACCTTTTTAGGCTGGCGTTTGAGTAAAAACCCATGTCCTAGACGTGCTCTTAAAATATGTTTTATTTTTTATTTTTTATTTTTTCTCTGTGTATGTAATTTATTGACCCTATGGTCACATTGTGTTTTTTATGCTTTTAAATTTCTGCTCTGTTAAGCACTTTGTGATTTTATGTCTGTGAAAAGTGCTCTATAAATAAATTTTATTATTATTAATTGTCTTCCTGAGAGTCTTGTACGGCTATGCCCTAGGCGCTCTCAGTAGGATGCAAACCTAGCACCCAGTATGAATAGTTATGTAGAACGTCTGTACTTTACTATTGCCTATTGTGAACTTCTCACCATTTTATGACTAACACTGCCAAGTCTTCACCCAGGGTACTCACCTTTAAGTTCCTCTGGTAGAGTCGGTCGTCACCTCTGTATCACACGGTTGAGGGACAGGGGAAGAGGGTCAAACTGTTCTAAAAACCAGAGTCTCTAGTTTGGGTCCAGTCACTTACAAATGGTAAGGCTGTGGTTTTATTAAAGTTTTTCCAAAGTAATCACATAGAACAATTTAAATTCAATGAAACAATCTCAGTGGTATTAAATCTAATGCTGACAAACCTGCTTGTTTTCAGGCTCTCTCAGTCAGCTCTCACTGTGAGTTTTTTCCTTTTTTCTTCTTTTTCATGCTGTCTTCTCTCCCATCTCGGAGGGGGGAAGACCCCTAAGGGTCTATTAGGGAAGTCTCTCCCAGTATCTACGCTGGGGAACAAGGAAGGGGCAAAAAGGGCAAAAAAGTATATCTCACAGTTTTTCTGCTTCTTTTATACTACTCTGATTCTAGTACCTCCCCTAATCGCATGCGTCACACATACAGGAGGCATCGTGTACCAGAGTTAGCAACAGAATGTAACTGGTTGTAACTGGTTTGGTCCGGATAGAACCAGAAGCAATATTCAAGGCTCAAGTGACTATGTTACATAAAGTGTCTAAGCAGGCTATATGTTTCTATCACTTCTATCATGAAATAAAACAGTTTATGTTAAATCAGTTATAATAAGTGTAAACAAGTTATATATTGTGACAGTTATAAAAAGTGAACAAACTATATGTTTGATGGTTATACTTTTATGCTTTCATATTTTTCTACGATCTCTCTACAGAAGGTTGAAGAGAAACTGAGATACAAAAGTCAAACTGTTGCTGCTGATGTTTAGGGAAATGAAACAAAGTTGGGGCTGTGATAACTCTGGATGTACATGGATATAGTGAAGTTATTAAACACTAGTGTTAAAATGCTGTATGGCTGCTTTAATGTCTGAGTCTTTATGTTGTTCCAGGGTATTTACATAAGTGTAATTGTGTCATATACTGTGTACAAAATGGAACAATTACACGATGACTACACAATGAGAGACTGAAACGAGTCCCAATCATTTGTCTCTGCAACTGTAAGTGGTCTATGACATCCAGAACAATGACCCTGGGTTACCTGTTGACTTTGGAAGGCTAAAGGCCAAAGTGTCTGCGTTTTCTTGTGCCTCATTGTTTTGTGTCTGTAATTTTGACAGTCTCTATGTTAGCAGTGCTTTGGCACTGCCGTCCTCTGGATCGCTCCTCTCCCAGCCCTGTCGAATGCGGATGAGGCTGCGGTCCACGCATGGCAGGAGGAGCAGCAGCTTGAGCACAATCAACAAAGAAGGCACCACCAGACAGAGCAGGTAGGCGGGAGGAGCGTACCATTTGTAGGAAGAGGGTTTAAGGAACTTGTTCCAACCATACAAGTAGGTGTGAAAGGTACAGAAGAACACTGTCAGGTATCCCAGCTTTGACTGGAAGAGAGAAAAAACGGTTAAGAAGTTCACCGATTCACATAGTTACACAACTAATTACTGTGTAAAAGGCATATTAAGTGATAGACTGACCTCTACGGAGACTCACCTTTGACCTACACATGTACACACACGAATAGAGATATTTCCGCTACTGATAGAGAGCATACATACACACAAGTATCCATTCCATACACATGAACATGTAGTTCATGTGTAAAGACTGTGGTGAAAGATAATATATGCCCCCCGAATTACAAGTGATGAATAACTTAACATTTAAAGTAGAGGGGGGTCGTGGCATTTTTGGTTGATTAGACCATTTTTCATATTTTTTTTATATTTTCTTCCCACAAATTGAAATGTCTTTAAATACACATTAACATGAATCCAACATATTGGAGTGAATGGATAAATGGAGGCAGAAGATGTTATCTTTCAGTCAGAAATGCACACACTCAGCGACACACAGGAGGTCTCTCATTGTATCGGCATTGGTAAGCAGCCATCCGGCCCATGTAACTGGTTTCCATCTGGGCTGATGCACACAATCATAGCTGTTATTTTGTCTAATGGACACGATGGGAATATCGTTGCAAATGTTTTTTTCTGCCACTATTCACACACAAAGTCCCGTAGCTTCTCTGTTAAATTCCTCACCAACTAACTGAATCTCAGCAGCCTAGTGCATACACAGGTGCAACACTGTAGTGGCAGCAGACCACTCCAACGGGCACATTGTAAGTGGATACCTACTGAGCCTGTTTAATATTGTCAGCATGTATCTCTGTGTTAACTGAATCATCAATCATCAAAAGTCATTTGCTGCTTTCCAAGGCCACAGTGTAGAGGTGAGATGATCAGTTGTCCTCATCTTTTTTCTCAGGGGAATGCTCATGAAATATCATAGAAATGGCTCTAAAATGATCAATGTGTTAAAATGCCATTCAGTTCCTTTTTGTGAGCTAGGAGCACCACATCTGTGAGCCATAAAAGGTGTGAATCTTCCATGTTGTCCAAACAACATGGAAGTACAAAGCTAATTAGAGAGTAGACACACATAGTACCTTCTTAATTTGTGGGATGGTCAGATTCCTGAAGAGAAATAAACCATTGTTATTTTAGGTTCAATCTGTGATTCAACAATCTCTGTAAAAAGACGTACGGGAACAAACACACACGTGTGTTTCAGGAAAATACTGACAGACTGCCTGTGAATCAATAGGGCCAGCACCACCGGAAAGTGTAATAAAAAAAATTCTATATTCCTCCAGTTGCAATTGCCAATGATTGTCAATGTAAACAAGATGCAGCCCAAGAAGTGTTTTGTATTTTGTGTCCATAATTTGTCCCTGGGAACGTGCAGACGCACTGAATCTCACACACTCACACACATCTAGATACCCACGTATCATAGGACTCAGACAAACACGCACGTATCTACCTGTATGAAGCTGAACTCTCTCCAGCTGAGAGCATTGCTGACGGAGGGGAGAGAGGATATTCCCAACAGGAGATACAGGCCAAATCCCAGAATCCCCATAGAGTAGTAAGAGTCGACACACCAGGCCTTGGTGGTGTCAAACACCGACGTTGTGTTTTCCCTGATCTTAAAGCAACAGTAAACAAGACAGATATATGTTTAAGCAAACATATCTGAGTGTATTGGGCTGTATATGAGTTCGTACATGTTCTGTACATGTTCTTACCGCTGAGATGGTACTTGCAGCGAGCTTGAATCTCACATAATATCTGGGGAAGAAAAGGACAAAACCATTTAAAGAAACAGTCATCAGGCCTAATTATTTTACATACAGTAAGGTAGTAGTTACCATGACTAATACAAAGACACTCCTAGTGTTATTAATATGGTATTCATCTGTGGTTTAGCATTATAACTCTGAATGATTGGTAGTTTAGCTGCACTTTCTTACGGGTACTTTGGGTTTAAATTGTCTTTCTGTGAGCTGCATTTAATCTTCACAATGGACAGGTCAGCGTCACACAGCTCTTTCTTTCTCTCATTCTTTTCCACTCTGCCTTATTTTTATCATTATGCGTTATTTAATACACTAGATTTTAAAACCCAACCACCATTCATTCACCCTCTAGCATTACATCTCAGTCTGAAGTGCTTCTTAAAGACTGAGTGCCTGTACTCTTCATTCTGCTGCTACTGCTACCACTAGTACTACGACTACTACTGCTACTACTACTTCCTCTGTGACTACCACTGCTGCCATCAGCAGTACTGCTGCTACTACTATCCCTACTAGTAACACCTCTGTGACACAAACACATAATATACCCCGCTAAACCTTCAATACATCCTAGTTACCACCCTGAATTGCCATAGCAACCACGTCAGTCTTACGCCACAGAACAACACAAAGTGACGTCCTAGCAGTCTTGAGTCCACTATCAACATCACTGAACATCCCGCACTCACGTGACTGTTGTTCCACTCCTCACAAATTAACTAAGGACTTTGAAATGTGATGGAAAGCTTTGAAAGCTCTTCTATGAATGAAGATACAGAACACCACCGCCAATCAAAATCCACATCCATTCCACCGTAGCAACCACCGAGCTACTGCAAAGAACTCCACAGCTCTTCCATGTGTGACTTCCCTATTTATTTATTCATCTGTTTATTTCACACACTCAGCAGATTAGAGATGAATGAGGGCAGACTCCATGTTAGAAATACCGCTCAGCACCAACATAAACACATTAGATATATACTGACGTACAATCTAAACCGTCATTACAGTGGGATTTATGCAGGGCTGTCTTGAAATGACATTAGTTTTAGAGTGTGTTCCTGATAAACTGGCTACTGTCTGAAGTTGAAATTGCAGTTATGATTACATTACATTTATGGAATGAAGCAGTGTGATGATGTGTGCACCTGTTACATACCTTATGGGAATGATGAGAGTATAAAGCACATGTAGAAAAGCAAAGCATAGTGCCACCAGTCCCAGCTGTTTCCTGCACAGCATCCAGCGATCCAACCAGTCAGGAAAATGCCTTAAACACAGCATACTTCGACTTGTGGGATGCAATAAAACACTTGAATGGCACTAAATATCAGTCCATCCTGTTGTGATGTCTGACCTGTACTTGGTTCCTCTGTAGAGCTGAAGGAAGGCAGCTATGACACCAGGCAGGCAGCAATTAGCCTGAGACCTTAATCAATGATTCTGCTGTTTGGTAAACAATGACATGCTGCTGATTTCTCCTCCCACAACATCCTAAAGTAAAGTGATGCTTTTGTGATTGTGGGGGGGGGGGGGGGGGGGATGGCGTTGTTTACCAAAAAAAAGAATCATTGATTAAGGTCTCAGGCTAATTGCTGCCTGCCTGGTGTC